AATTAGAACAGCTTTTTCTGTATCCTATAAGTTTTGGTATGTTGTTTCTTTTTTTGTTTATCTGAAGATAATTTTCATTTTTATTTTTTGATTTCTTCTTCAACCCATTGGCTATTTGAAAGCATGCTGTTTAATCTCTCCATATTTGTTAATTTCCCCAAATTCCTTCTGTTGCTGGTTTCTAGTTGCATATTACTGTGTGAAAAACAAAAGACACTTGAGATAATTTGAATCTACTTAGGATTTTTAGCCTTGTTTTATGGCCTAATAACTTGTTTGGTGGTCCATACTAGAAAATGTTTCATATGCACAAGAAAAGAATGTGCGTTCTGCTGCTGTTACAGTGGAATGTTATGTGTATTAGGTCCATTTCATCTAAAGTTTGGTCCAAGTCCAATTTCTTTTTTGATTTCCTGTCTAGATAATCTTTCCATTTCTGAAGATGGAATATTGAAATTTCCTAATGCAGATATTATTGCATGGTTGTTTAGCTCTCCCTTCAGGTCTATTAATATTTGCTGTATATATTTAGGTGTTCCAATGTTAGGCACATATAGGTTTACAATTATTATATCCTCTAATTAATTGGCCTCTTTGACATTGCATAATGACCTTCTTTGTTTCCTTAAACAGTATTAGACTTAAAAGTAAGTTTTGTCTGACATAAGTATAGCTAGTACTTCTGGTCTCTTTTGGTCTTCATTTGCTTGATATGTCTTTTCTTCCTTTTTTTGTTTGAGACAGAGTCTGGCTTTGTTGCCTGGGCTCGAGAGAGTGCTGGGGCATCAGCCTAGCTCACAGCAACCTCAAACTCCTTGGCTGAAGTGATCCTCCTGCCTCAGCCTCCCAAGTAGTTGGGACTACAGGAGCAAGCCACCAAGCCTGGGTAATTTTTTTTTGTTTTTTCTATTTTCAGTTGACTGGCTAATTTTCTTTTTTTCTATTTTTAGTACAGACAGGGTCTCGCTCTTGCTGAGGCTGGTCCCAAACTCCTGACCTCAAATGATCCTTCCGCCTCAGCCTCCCAGCATGCTAAGATTATAGGCATGAGCCACCATGCCTGGCAGTATATCTTTTTATACTTCCTCACTTTCAGGCTTTTTTTGTCTTCAAAGTTCAAGTGAGTCTCATGTAGGCAGCATATCTTTGCGTCTTTTTTTAAAAATCCATTCAACCATTCTGTGTCTTTTGATTAGAGAATTTAATAAATTTATATTCAGGTAATTATTGGTAGGTCTAGATTTACTACTGCCATTTTGTTAATTGTTTCCACATTATTGTAGGTCATTTTTTCTATCTTCATCTCTTATTGTCTTGTTTTGCGCTTCGATAATTTTCTATAGTATACATTCTGATTTATTTTTATCTTTTGTGTGTATCCTGTAGGTTCATGCATTGGGGTTATCATAGTCTTATATAAATCATCTTAAAATAAAAGGCCATTTCAGATGATAAAACATTAATTCAAATGCATACAAAAGCTTTACCTTCTGCACTTGGATATTCATAGCAGCACAATTCACACGTGTAAAGATGTGGAAACAACTGAAGTGCCAACCAGTCCATGAGTGGATTAATAAACTGTGCTAAATGTGAACAATGGAGTACTACTCAGCCACAAAAAAATGGTGAACTGCCTCTTGTATTATCCTGGATGGAGCTGGAGCCAATTCTAAGTGAAGTATCACAAGAATGGAATGACAAGAACCACATGTACTCACCATTAAATTGGTAACAATCAATCAAAACTTACATGCACATATGGAAGTAACAATCATCGGGGGTCAGACAGGTGGGAGGGAGAGGAGGGCATGGGTAAACTCACACCTAATGAGTGGGATGCATGCTGTCTGGGGGATGGGCATGCTTCTGATTCAGGTGGTACAAAGGCAATTTATATAACCAAGGCATTGGTACCCCTGTAATATTCTGAAATAAATATATATATATATATATATGTAAAGACATAAAATATATGAATAGACCTAAAGCAAAGAATGATATTAAATTAAGTATATCCCCTTAAAGAAAAGCCCAGAGATAGCTGTCTTCACTAGTGAATTCTAGAAAACATGTAGTGAAGAATTAATACCAATGCTTCATGGTCACTTTCAAAGACATAAAAAAGAAAGAGTAGAATGATGTTTTCCGGGGGTTGGGTGGGGTTGGAGAGCTATTGGTAAAAAGCTACAAAATTTCAGTAAGATAGGAAGAATAAGTTCAAGAGATCTATTCTACAACATGGTGACTATACTTAATAATAATATATCGCCTCTTAAAGATCACTGAAGGAGTAGATTTTAAGTGTTCTCACACCAAAACATGATAAGCATGTGAGGTGTAATGCATATGTTAATTAGCTTGATTTAGCTATTTCACATTGTAAACATATTTCAAAAAATTATATTGTACATGTAAATATGTTCAATTTTATTTGTCAGTTTAAGTAGGTTAATTAAATAATAGAAGGGAAAACATAAATTTATTCTATGAGGTCATTGTTACCCAGGTTACAAAGCCAGGCAAAAGCATCACATGGAGAGAAATGTATAGACTATTATCTCTTATAAAATATAGACACATATTCTCAATTATAGCAGCAAGCTGAATGTAACAACATATAAAAATGATTGGATGCACTCACCAAAGTTGTTATCTCACAAATGCAAATATGTTTTAAAAACTAAAATCAAACAATGCAATACATCATAATAATAGAATAAAGTACCAAAATTATTGTTATTGAGACAGATGAGCTTTTGATAAGTCCAATGCCTGTTCATAATAACTACACACACCCAGAAAACCAGGAATAGAAGGGGATTCTCGGAACTGCTAGAGGGCACCTATGAAAAATCTACAGCCAACAACATACATCATAGTGAAAACCGGAGTGCTTTATACATTTGTCAAAGTCAAAATACAAATGTACATGCAAATCTCTAAATTTAATGTTTTATCTGGGAGAAAATAAATGTAATTTGAGGCACACACTCAGACCAGGCAGTCTTTGGTACATCTGACGAACAAAGGCAAAAGGTATTATATAAAGAAAAAATGTTGGCCAGGTGCGGTGGCTCACGCCTGTAATCCTAGTACTCTGGGAGTCCGAGACGGGCAGATCGCTCAAGGTCAGGAGTTCGTAGACCAACCTGAGTAAGAGCGAGACCCCCGTCTCTACTAAAAATAGAAATAAAATTAATTGGCCAACTAAAAATATATATAAAAAATTAGCCAGGCATGGTGGTGCGTGCTTAATTTTTTCCATATATTTTTAATTATCCAATTAATTTCTTTCTATTTTTAGTAAAGACGGGGTCTTGCTCTTGCTCAGGCTGGTTTTCAACTCCTGACCTCGAGAAATCAACCCCACTTGGCCTCCCAGAGTGCTAGGATTACAGGTGTGAGCCACCACGCCTGGCCACGATCCCTGTTTCTAAGCCACTTGAAGTGGGTTTGCAACAGTGTCTTGTAAATTAAAGCTTTGGTTTCTTTATGACAGGCACATCTATACAGACATGCAGATAGATGCTGGCTGTGGTTCTCCATCCTCAGCTGTAGTGAGTTTTTCCCCAGTGCCATCTGGCTCAGACTCTGATGCTCTTTCTCTGAAGATGGGGCCTTGTGCTCCACAGGGAAGATGGGAGAGCTGTCTCTGCAGGGTTCCAGCAGTGGATACTAGCAGCATCCGGTGTGCTACGCAGTGCTGGAGTGGATGATGATAATGGCTTTTAGTGACAGGTTACACACTGAGCACTGGGATCCACTTACAGAGTTAAAGCAGGTCACTGGACAAGATCTGGAAAATTCCAGGGTTTTACCTGGAGAGGCCTTCCAGTTTTAAAAAGTCTATGTTCATCTCTTGTACTGCATAAAATGTCTCCTCTGTGGACATTTCTGTACATTCTCAGTCTGAATAAGAATGTACAAAACGCCAGGCTTGGCCCTGTGTCATTAATACCAGGTGAAGGCCAGGTCTTGTGCATATATTCAAGAAGAACTTACACTTGCTCTGTATTCCTGGGTTTTATAGTGAGAGGAGAAAAACAAAACTCTATGCAGCCTGCTCTAGAGCATCTTGAGGAACCCCAGGCCTTGGACTTAGAATTTGAAACTGCATATTAGGGATCTAAAGAGGAGGGGAAGCAGTGACACCTGTTGCACATTCCCTGGCATTTGGGCAGGAAGATGCAGCAGACCTGGATATTCTCAAATGGACTTTGTGTGCATGCAACCATCTGGGTGGGCAGCAGAGCCCCATGGTCTCCGAATCGATTTCCAGTTTGAAGATTCCAGGAGCTCTGAAAGGAAGGGCTGGGACTGCTGATTGTCACCCCATGAGTATTGTAGGACTTTGGTCTAACTGTTCTCTAGAAGGTATTATACTCTACAAATAGGCAGAGAGACCAGAAAGCCCATGTTTTTAAAAATCACAAAATGTGTATCCATAAAGTGTTAGTATATGACTAAAACTGAAAATTGCCTATTCCAGCCAGGTACAGCGGCTCATGCCTCTCTAATCCTAGCACTTTAGGATGCTGATGCAGGAGGATCACTTGAGCCCATGAATTTGATACTAGCATGGGCAACATAGTAAGACCTTGTATCTACAAAAAAAATAAAACAAAATTACTCAAGCCTGGTGGCATATGCATACTCTGGAGCTTAAGAGGGTAGGATTGCTTCATCCCATGAGTTTGAGGTTGCAGTGGCTATGATAGTGTCACTAAACTCTAGCCCAGGGGACAGAGTGAGACCCTAAAAATGCATATTTGTTAGATCTTCACTACGAAATACAAATGTCTCCCACGCAGAGCTAGGTCGCAGAGCAGGGGGGCAAAGCCCTGTCTACAGCTACAGCCAAACACCTGTTACTCTGGCCTCATTCAGCCGCAGTCTGATCGCGTCACTGCTGTCACTCATGGCCAGAGGGGTGGTGCCTAGAGCATTATCCAATCAGGGACGCTGTATTGAGAGCTGTCCAATCAGATGCGCAGACAGAAACAAGGAGGCGGCTTCCGGGACATGGCGCGGCCTTTGTCTCTTCCGCCGGGCACGGAGCCGGCGTCCCCTCTCCGCCGTTGCTCCTCTCGGGGCCCAGGTGTGTCTGCCGCAGCCTGTGTCACCCGAGACCGGCAGGTACGAGGGTCCACAGGGAGGGCGCCGGGACGTCCCGGAAGCTGGGGCCGGGCGAGCGTGCGGCCGGTGCTCTGAGGGGACGGCGGCCGGTAGGGCGGCCGGAAGCGGCTGTGGGGACGCGGCCGCCCGGCTTCGCCTCCGGAGTCTGGAGACCAAGGCCCGCCCTGGCGCGCCGGGGCCGTCGGTCCCCTCCATCCGCAGGGCGGGCCGGGCGGGCAGCGGCGCCCTGGGCGTCCCGGCCGGTCCTGGCCCTGCGTTTCTTGCGGCCTCAGCCCGGGCCTCTCCGGGCGGCGGCCGCGTCCCCCGGGTGGTGCGGGGACGGCGGGAGGGTCCCCCGGGGAGGGCAGCGGCTCTGCGCGGTGTCCCTGCGGGAGAGGAGGCGCAGTCCTAGGGATTATGGGACACTTAGCGCCTGACTCCCGGGTGTGCGAGGATGAACTCACACAGCGAACGTGAGGTTCCCAGCACGGAGCCCTGCAGCAGACTTGTGAGCACCGAGTGCGTGGTCAGTCAGCATTGCTTTAATGCACGTGTCCGTGTGGGTTTCCAAATGGCTGTCTCAGATAAAGTTGCCTTTCTAACTTCTGTAAACTTTATAGGGCCAGCGGAGAATATTTCAGGATGGTGGTTAGTGGCCTTCATTTGGACCACAATTATTTATATTGTGATAGAAGTGTTGAATGTAAGGAACTCTGTGCTGTGCCTGCTGTCTTAGCTGAGTGGGACTGATCACAGATCTGAGCAAGCAACATTAGCATTAACAGGAGACTTGTTAATAAACCCAATCCATGGACCACCTCCACACCTGCAGAATCACATTGCTTAAAGTGGGACCTGGAATAACAGTTTATTTATGTGCACATTGAAGCTTGAGACGTGATGCTTAGCTAGGTAGCTCAGCCCAGGCTTTCAGTGATAATCCCATGACCAGATTGAAGAAACACCATGAACTGTGTCTGCCCTATAGATTCTATTGGTCTGAGTGGGAGCATCTGTGTGGTTTTAATTAAGTGCCCCATGCGATTCTCAGGGGAGGCCAGAGTCAAGTCCAGCATGTGGGCTCCCAGATCTGTTCCTGAGAGTTGAGTTCAGCCGTTTTTCCAAAGTTGAGGTCACAGGACCAGCTCTGCTTGGGTTTGATTGAGGGGAACCAGTGTGGCCCACATTCCCATTGCAGTAGCAGAAATTGCTGGTGTCTGTGGCAGGGGAGGCCACCTGAGGGCAGCAGAGGAGAAACCCACATGCTGGTCTTTATGTAGGGGCTCAGTGTTCTTGAATCTCTCTTGTGACAAAGGGCAGGTCAACGTCTTCTTTTCTGCACTTCCAGGTCCTTCTGCCTGTGGGTGTGGTGGTAGCAGATGAAGCGGTTGTGCTGATGCCTTGAAATGCACATTCTCAAGATGAAGCTGCGATTTGTGCAGATACCCTCAGCTGAGAAGGAACCTTAGGCAGGAGGAAGAGGAAGAAATGGCTGGTTCTCAGGTAAGTGTCTCCCAGGTCAAGGGCTGTGTCGACTTTTACTCCTAGAATGTCGTGTCTTGAGGACTTGCAAACCTTTGCTTCTCTGCTTCTGAGGCATCTGCCTAACAGGATTGTCTCAACTGCTTACTTCCCTTTCTTCTGATATTTAAGGGCTCCTTAAAATGTTTCTCCCCTACATACCAGAAACTTATCTTCTTTCTCTCTATCCAAAGTTTTACATATTGTGAATATGTAAACATGAATTTATGGCCTGCAATATTGAGAACGCTCCCTTTTTGACAGATGAACATGAGAAGATGTGGATACTCGAGACTCCTCTTGGGCACAGGGCTGGGTCCTGAGTTGTCAGTGAAGTGGGAGAATGTGTACTGTGGGGTTCCGTGGGGATGCCCCGTCATCTTTATGCCAAATAGGATTTTTTTTTTTTTGAGACACAGTCTCACTTGTTGCCCAGGCTAGAGTGAGTGCCGTGGCGTCAGCCTAGCTCACAGCAACCTCAAACTCATGGGCTCAAGCGATCCTCCTGCCTCAGCCTCCCAAGTAGCTGGGACTACAGGCATGCGCCACCATGCCCAGCTAATTTTTCTATATACATTAGTTGCGCCAATTAATTCTTTCTATTTATAGTGAGACGAGGTCTCGCTCTTGCTCAGGCTGGTTTCGAACTCCTGACCTTGACAATCCGCCCATCTCGGCCTCCCAGAGGGCTAGGATTACAGGTGTGAGCCACCGGGCCCGGCCCCAAACAGGATTTTAAAAAGCACATTTAATAGCACTTTGGGAGGCCGAGGCGGGCGGATTGCTCAAGGTCAGGAGTTGAAACCAGCCTGAGCAAGACCCTGTTCTACCAAAAATAGAAAGAAATTAATTGACCAACTAAAATATATATATACAAAAAATTAGCCGGGCATGGTGGCGCATGCCTGTAGTCCCAGACTTGGAGGCTGAGGCAGTAGGATCGCTGAGCCCGGAGATTGAGGTTGCTGTGAGCCAGGCTGACGCCATGGCACTCAGTCTAGCCTGGCAACAAAGTGAGACTCTGTCTCAAAAAAAAAAAAAAAAAAGCACATTTAAGAGGATGGCATTAATTGCCCCAGATAACCCAGAAATTTCTGAAAAACAGTTTAATTAGAAGATGTGCTCTTTAGGATGCTAGAAAAAGACTAAATAAAATAAACTATTATAGGTTATAGATTATGGGAAATACATGTTGTTTGAAATTGGGATAAAAGGGATGTTTTTATGATTAGATTCAGATTATGATTTATTATTTATGACTAATCTCACAGCAGTGGCACGTGTCCTCTGCATCAGCACCTCATACAAATTTGTCCTCTTACAGTTTATGTTAATTTCATAAATTAAAGTGATGTCTGGCAGATTCCTCCCCTATAAATTGATTTTTTTTTTAGTCATTAATAGGTATCTTTAGGATTTTTACTGACTAATGTACTTAAATCATCACATTTAATCTGGAAGTTCTCCTTTTCTCTTAGTTTCTCTTTGTTTATGGCTTGCTTTAGAGGATGAAGGCTCTCATCTTTGTTTACTGGTCATATGAATCAGAATAAAACCCAGGTTCTACCACTTACTATATGGTTGACAAAATATTTTTTCTGTGCTGGAAGAGTTGGAATTATTGGTGTGTGAGAAATGCAGAAACTCAGGCCCCATGCCAAATCTCCTGAATCAGAACCTGTACCTTAATACAATTTCCAGTTCACTGCATTGCACATTAAAGTTTTAGCAATGCCTTTCTAACTCACCTTGACTTTTCCATATGAGAAACATATACAGCTTATTGTATATGGTGTTAGTGTGTATATACACATACACCACTCAAAAATGTATATGCCTTTGTGGATGCCCTTAATTTATGTTAGTACTTTATCATCCAGAGAAGTACAGTATCTACACTGTTTGTAGATCTCTTTGCTGCCCTCTGTCCTCAAAGTAAAGAATACATTGGAGAATGTTGCTGTTTGTTAAGTACTGGATAATTCCAGTCACTCCTTTAAGTCAGAGCCAGTTCTCTTCCTTCTCTCATTTCACCTTTAGTCAAATCAAGAACATTGTTCATGGCTGTTTCATAAATATGTTTTTCCCTCTAGGGATTGTTGACATTCAGGGACGTGGCCGTAGACTTCTCTGCGGAGGAGTGGGCATGCCTGGACCCTGCTCAGCAGAGTTTGCATCGGGATGTGATGTTAGAGAACTACACAAACCTGGTCTCTGTGGGTGAGGATAACTTCCTTTTAGGGATCTTAAAGGAACCCTAAGGGTTTTATTTTCGTTGTTTGTGAAATGTTTTATGGGAATTTCGACTTTGGATGAATGAGTTTCAGATCTTTGCTTTCAAGGAACACTTTGGGACTTGTTTGTGTAGAAAAGAGAATTTTCAAGTTGTTTCATCTTAATATGAACCTTCCCCTTTCTTGAGGTGGCCTGTATACTTCCCTCTAGATGGGTGACAATTCTAAAAATTTGGTAGTATAAAACATGGTCCAGACTCTGAAATTCAATTTTTACTGCTAGTTTTTCACTTAAGTACTAGATAGTGGAAGTAAGAACTCACAAATTTTAAAATAATTTCTAAATATCCTGGTTCTATGAAGAAACAGTATTTTGAGTTTAATTTTCTAGAACCTCTGCAATGTTCTTTCTTGTCTACTGAGCACAGTACTGGGTTGGTAAGTGGAGAATCCTAGCAAGAGTCATGTTGCTTCTTTCTAATAACAGGTCTTGCTGCCTCTGAGCGGGACCTGGTTTCCTGTCTGGAGCAAAGGCAAGAGCTGTGGAATGTGAAGAAACAGGATGCAGGAGCCACATACCCAGGTAGGTGGGAGTGAATGCAGCAGGTGACACAGGTGAGACGTTTCAAAAGTCAAGGGAGACGCCAGACCTTAAACTGTAGTTTGAGAATATCTGCTTGAATGGAACTGGTTTCTGAGATGCCTGGGTTTCTTTCTCTTGTTGTCACACAGGGTCATCTTCTGCCCAGTGCTCTTTAAGGACCTTTCTTCCCCCTCAGTGATTTTCCTTCAAAATTACAGTGAGAGCCGAAGTCTTCTGCATGGCTTGTAAGGGACTGCATGATCTGAGTTATCTTCCATTGCTTTCTGGGAACATGGGAACATCTGCATAGTTTCGAGGAACTTCATTTTAAACCCTTTCTTATGTTCCCTTTTTGCATCATCTGAAATGTGTGTGAGTAGTGATGTTAATTGATTTTTGCTTCAGAAATCCCAGGAACACCAGGGACAGAGGCACAGTTTGTCGTTTATGATTTTGGATCATATGGAGGCTTCCATTATTATTTTGTAGGAATTCATACTTAGTAATTTTATCAGAGCATTAAGAATGTCCCCTAGGCCGGGCGCGGTGGCTCACGCCTGTAATCCTAGCACTCTGGGAGGTTCGCTTGAGGTCAGGAGTTTGAAACCAACCTGAGCAAGAGCAAAACCCTGTCTCTACTACAAATAGAAAGAAATTAATTGACCAACTAAAAATATATATGCAAAAAATTAGCGGGGCATGGTGGTGCATGCCTGTAGTCCCAGCTACTTGGGAGGCTCAGGGAGGAGGATTGCTTGAGCTCAGGAGATTGAGGTTGCTGTGAGCTAGGCTGACGCCACGCCACTCTAGCCTGGGTGACAAAGTGAGACTCTGTCTCAAAAAAGAAAAATTTAATCGTGTAAAAACACAGAACGTAAAATTTACCATCTTAAATTTTTAAGTGTAAAGATCAGTGGTGTTATTATATTCGCATTGTTACTCACAAGACCTGTAGAACTTTTATATCCTGTAGAACTAAAACTCAGTGCCCACTGAAGAACAACTGCCCATTTTACCCTCTTTCCAGCTTTTGAAAAACACTATTCTACTTTCTGTTTGTATGATTTTGGCTACTTAAGATATCTCATACACTATCTGTCATTTCATTACTGGCTTATTTCAGTTGACGTAGTATTCTCACAGTTTCTCCTTACCATAGCCTGTGGTGAGATGTTTTTCTTCCAAGGCTGAGTGATACTCTACTGTATGCATGTGCCACACTTTAACTGTTCGTGAGTCAAGGGACATCTGTGTTGCTTCCACCTTCTGCTTTTGCACCTGGGAATACAAATATCAATTCCACCTCTGACGCTGCATACTTTGTATACTTACTCAAAAGTGAGATTGCAGGATTGGATGATAATATTTTGGATTTTTTGAGGAGGCCCCATGCTGTTTTTCATAGTGGCTTCTCATTTTTCCCCACGAGCATACCAATCTCTCCACATCCCCAATAGCTTTGTTTGTTTTATTGTGGCCACTTTAATAGGTGTTAAGTAATATCTTACTGTGATTTTTCTTTTCATTTTTCTAAAGACCGTGAATTTTGAACATCCTATCAAATGCTTGTTACCCATTTTTATATCTTCTTTGGAGAAATAGGAGTCTAATCCTTTGTCTATTTTTTAATCCAGTTATTAACTTTCTGTTGTTTTGAGCTTGAAGAGTTTTTTATATATTCTAGATATTAACACTTAACAAATGTGTGATTTGAAAATATTTTTACCATTATCTTATGTATAATTTTTACTCCACTAAATGTTTTCTTTGATGTGCAGAAGTTCTGGAGTTTGATATCCCTTTTTTATGTAATATCCAAGAATATAGTGCAAAGATTAATATCTTTCCTCTGTAGGTTCCTTTAATAGTTTTATCATTATGTTTGTCATGTTTAAGTACTTAATCCATTTAAGGTATATTTATTTTGTATATGATACATGGGTAAGGTTCAACTTTTTTCCATGTAGACATGGAGTTTTCAACACCGTTTGTTGAAAAGGCTCTCCTTTCCCATAGTGCGGCCGTGGCCGTCTTGTGAAAGATAATTTGGTCATATACACAGGGTTTTCTTTTAGGCTGTGTATTCTGTTCCATCATCTATTTATCTGACTGTGTGCCAGTACCACATTATTTTTATTCCTGTAACTTTGTTTTGAAATCAGAAAGGGTACTTCCTCTTTTTTTATTTTGCTATTCATAATGCCTAAATGTTTTAAGGAAGTTTTTTATATTGTTGTAAAAGTACCATTGTGATTTTTTTATTTGAAGAACAGGAACCAAAGTTTTATTTGTTCATTTCTTGCATCTAAAGTAGTCTTTGATGACATCCTGGGCCTGAGATTGCTTGCCATAATTCTTCACCACTACACAACTATGACCAACCACTTTATAGGGTTTTCTCTGTCTGTCTGTGTTACAGACGCCTACCAAGTCACCTGCTTTCTTGTTGTCATCACTGTTAATTAGGTTGATTTGGTGTTCAGTACAAGGGTCCTCTACAAACTTGACCTATGTAGGCTGAACGTACCGTGTTTCCCTGAAAATAAGACAGGGTCTTATATTTATTAACCGTAACATCAACCTTTGCCTTTGTGACAGTTTTTTGACTTAAAAGTGCATGTTGTCTAATTATGGCCACCTGACTCTATTGTGGTTATTATTTGCATGGAATAAATTTTTAATCCTTTTATTTTCAGCCTATTTTACTCCTTAGAGCTAAAGTGAATCTTTTGTAAGCAGCATATTATATTGTCTTCCTTGTTGTTAATATAGCCATTTTATTTCTTGTCATTAGGGAGCATAATCTGTTTCTATTTAAAGTAATTAGTGAAGGAAATGAAGTTACTATTAACACTTTGTGAATTGTTTTCTATTTCTTGTAGCTATGTTTTTCCTCATTTCCACTCAGACTGCCTTCATTTTTGTCCTGTTGATTTTGTAGTGACGAGCTTTGATTCCTTTCTTATTTCCTTTTGCTTGCTTACTTTGTTGTTGTTTTTTTCTTTCTTTCTTTTTATTCTTTTCCTAGCATCAGAAGATAAGCCATGACTTTTTGCTTACTTTCTATGAGCATTTTCTTTGTGATCATCTTGAGAAATGGAATTTATCTCAAACATCTTAAAGTTATAGCAATATATTTTAATCTCATAAAACTTCACTTCCATTGAATACAAAAACTATACCTCTTTACATTCCCTTTCTTCATTAATAATTACACAAATTGTAATTTTTTATATTGTGTATCTATTAACAGATTTTTCCACATTAAAAAAATTTCTGTAAGTTTCGTATAACCATCATTATGATAGTGGAGAAATTTTTTTTTTTTTTTGGAGACAGAGTCTCATTCTGTTGCCTGGGCTAGAGTGCCATGGCAACCTAGCTCACAGCAACCTCAAACTCCTGGGCTCAGGTGATCATTCTGCCTCAGCCTCCCAAGTAGCTGGGACTACAGGCATGTGCCACCATGCCCGGCTAGTTTTTTCTATATTTTTAGTTAGCCAATTAATTTCATTATATTTTTAGTAGAGATGGGGTCTCGCTCTTGCTCAGGTTGGTTTTGAACTCCTGACCTTGAGCAGTACACCCTCCTCGGCCTCCCAGAGTGCTAGGAGTACAGGCATGAGCCACTGTGCCCGGCCAATAGTGGAGAATTCTGTGTCTGTGTATAGATTTACCTTTCGCAGGGAACTTTGTAATTTCATGTGATTTTTTTGAATTTTTATTTTTTATTTAATTTTATTATTTCTTGACCAACGAATGTGTCTGAATTCATGTGATTTTTTATTATGGTGTTTAGCATCATTTCATTTTTCAATATAATGGACTCAATTTGGCATTTCTTGCAGGGCTGTTTGACTAAACGCTCATCAAATCTATGTTCTTCCACTCCTTGGATTGTTTTTTTTCACATTGTTCTTTGTTTCCTTTACTGTGCAGAAACTTTAGTTTTATATATTCCCATTTGCTTTTGTTTTCTTCTTTTGTAGGATGTGCTTTTTTGGTATTATATCCAAAAGGTCATTGACAAGGCTCATGTGAAAGAGATCGTACCCTATGCTTTCTTTGAGAAGTTATATAGTTTCTGATGTGACATTTGATATTAATCCCTTTTCAGTTAATTTTTTGTGTTTTATTTCATTTTTCATGTGGATAGAGGCACTATTTTAGCATCATTTATTGAATAGACTGTTTTCCCCTTTGTGTATCTTGTTGCCATTGTAAAAGATGAGTTGACTGTGTACACGTGGGTTTATTTCTGCTTTCTTTTTTCTGTTTCATTTGTCTATGTATCTGTTTTTATGTCAGTACCATACTCTTGATAAGCGTAGCTTTATCATAGTTTCTCTAAGAATTGTGATACCTGTATATTTGTTCTTCTTTCTCAAAATTGTGTTGTCTATTTGGGGTCATTTGTTCCATAGAAATTTTAGAATGTATTTCTATTTCTGTGAAAAATGCCATGAAAATTTTAATGGGAATTTCATTGGATTAGTAGCTTTGTGTACTATGAACATTTTATCAATATTAATTTTTCCAATCAATGAACAGGGGATAGTTTTCCATTTATTTGTGTCTTTACTTTTATCAATATGGTACAAATTTTGCTGAACAGATCTTTCACCTGTTTGTTAGATTGAATCATTAGAATTTTAAACTATTTTATGCTTTTGTAAATGAGACTGTTTACTTTTTTCTCAGTTTATTTTATAGAAATGCAAATGATTGTTGTATATTGATTTTGTCATCTGTGACTTGAGGGATTTATTCTAAATATTTTTTGATATATACTCTTTAGGGTTTTATATATAATAGAAGATTACCTCATGTCCCAGAAGAGAGAATTTTACTTCTTTTTTTCTATTTGATTGCCCTTTTTTCCCCTGACCTAATTGCTGTGTCTCAATCTTTCAGTACTATGCTGAATAAAAGTGGTGAGATTGAGCTTCCTTGTCTTGTTCCTGATACAAGAGGAAAAACTTACAGTGTTTCATTGTTGT